CTATATCATTTCAATAAATTTTTATTAAAAAAAATTAAATTACCTTATTTTTAAAATATACATTAAAGTAATTTTTATTTTTATTTTTATTTTAATTTTTTTAAAATAAAACGAATAAACACTAACCTCTTATGTATATATATAAATACATATCTAAAAAAAAAAAACTCTTATGTATATATATAAATACATATCAAAAAAAAAAAAAAAACCCTTTGGACTCTGAACTAGTTCTGCAGTAAAAGATGATTCTCATAACATATATGTTTTCTTTAACATGAAACATCAAACATGTGCTATAAGACTTAAATTTTTAAAAGAAAAAAAAAAAAGAATAACCGCATGATCATCAACAACTTACAATCCGACGGTCTCTTTACGGTCAATCGCAAACATAAAGCAAAAGCATATTCATTGAACGGCTTTGATGGTCCCAATTCCTCGGAACTGCGAGTGTCGGTCCCACAATGCTGTAGCGGCAGCAGAGGGGCAAGGCAACTAAGGAGGATTGTCTACCAAAGGAAAAGCAACAATTTTTATTGAGAGATTTGAATCATAATTTCCATGAAAGAGAAGCGTTTAAAATTCAACAGCTTATAGGGGAGAGATACAAATCACATGGAAGAAGAGCTGCCTCCACCGTTACGCCCTCCCCCACTTTTCTTTTAGCCTTATTTCCTCTCTCTTTAAAGACTTTGCAGCTTCTTCAACACCATTCACTTTTCCATCTCATCAACTGAGGAGGAGGAGGTGGGTTTTGTTTGATTTTGTGTTTTCTTTTCTGGGTTTTCAATTTCGTGATCTGGGTTTTTGGAAATTCGGGATCTTTTGAATTGGGAGTAAGCGAGAGAGATGGAGGAGGGGTTATTGTGCCAGTGGACTGTGTTCAGATCTCTTCTTGCGATTCTTCAATGGTGGAGTTTCAATGTCACCGTGATTATCATCAACAAATGGATCTTTCAGGTCTGTGTCTGTATTCTTTATCACTTTTGGCATCCGGGTTTAGCTTTATTTTTGTTATGTTTTCCATTTTCCTGTCTGTGTTTTGATCTTCTAATTGACTGATTCAATTGTGTAATTTTGCCTTTTGTGTGTTCCGGTTTTCATCTTGTGGTTGATCTATTTCTCTTTATCAGCAGAGAATCCCATGCTAAGTTACAAATTTTACTTTGATGCATGTCTTCTCTGCTTGGATTCAATTGCAGTGAGAAGTCTGTTACTGGTCTTAATTGATTTTCAGTAAGGCTTGCTGCACTAGATTCTTGTTTTTGTATTTGTTTTTGTTTTTTTTAGGTAGTTTAAAGTTTCACCTAACTTTTTTCTTTGGAATTCCCATATGGGCAGTAAACAAGCATAACGCTATAGATTGATTGGCAAAGTTCATCGATTCAACAAGGTTTAATATGTTGGTGGATGATTGAGCTGCTCAATTACCTAACATCTAACTTGTCTTTAGCATCTTAGTGGAGAGGACACTGGCGCATGGCAAGGCTGTCATTTGTTTGCATTAGAAAAATATGGTTGCATTTCTCCTGTTACCAATAAAACAGATCTAAGACATTTTTTAATATTTGATTAATGCTGTGGATACTATAAAGTTGTAATGAACAAATGATGTGTATTATTATAAAATTTATTCGTTGATGTGGGCATGTGGTATCTGTTGATGCCGGGGGAAGAGATAAAGGCAGGCAGTCTTGCATGTGGGTCTAAAATAAACCTTCAATTACAATTATAAAACAAAGTGTCCAAAGCTGTTGGAATTTCTGGTTAATCCTTTTAATCTATTCATATTGAGCTCTGGTTAACTACCAAACTAAGAATCAGCCAAAGTTTGGAAGGCACAAATGAAATTTGGAAGTCATGCTAATAAATCTATATGCTCCTTTTTGTTTAATCTTTCTAGTGCTTAAGAGGACTTTCTTCTTTGGCTTCGTTGATATCATGTTAAAGAGTTTCCTTGGCATGAATTTTTGTAAAGTTAATTGTGTAGGTAGCTGTGTGTATCCACTCTTTTAATCCTAGTGGAAATCATGAATGTTAAGTTAAATTCTGTAACTTTTGAAAGGATCAAACAGATTAAACTGGTATCTTTGGAGTTTTAAAATTACTTTTCCACTAATTTGAGTATTACATTAGATGCCTGGCTAACTTTACGTGCTTTCATTTATCTATATGATTAGCAAGTTATTTGATGTTGTCATTGTGTCTGAGGAGCCTTGGAGAATTTGGTTCAGTCAGACATGGATATATTTGGTTCTAACTGGCATTTGGTTCTGTTGAAACGTTGATGTATTTGGTTCTGACTGCAAATTTTTATTTTTATCTTTATTATTAATTAATTTATTTATATTTCTTTGTGGTCTTTATCTCATTCCATTTCTACGTGTCTAATAATAGTTTTTTACTGACTAAGTAGTCTACATTCCCTTCAGAATGATTCCTGTGAAATATTGTTGTCTTTGGATTGGAACAGCTTGTGTTTGGTAAGTTTGAGGTCCTGACCTGGTTTCTTTCTGCAGAAATTGGATTTCAAGTTTCCCTTATCAGTATCATGTGTTCACTTTATATGCTCATCAATTGGAGCATATATTGTCATCAAAGTGCTGAAGCTTAAACCTCTGATAGTGGTTGAAGCTGAAGATCGCTGGAAAAGGATATTTCCAATGTCTTTTGTGTTCTGTATCAATATAGTATTGGGGAATGTAAGCCTACGCTACATTCCTGTTTCTTTTATGCAGACAATAAAGTCATTTACCCCTGCAACCACAGGTCAGATTAAGAAATTCTTGATCTAAATTGTTGCCTCTGGTCCTCAGCTTGATTAAATTTTTCATTTTATCTATGTTGGATTTGGCAGTTGTTTTGCAGTGGCTGGTTTGGAGAAAATACTTTGACTGGCGAATTTGGGCCTCCTTGGTACCTATTGTTGGAGGAATACTGCTCACCTCTATTACAGAACTGAGTTTTAATATGATGGGATTTTGTGCTGCCTTATTTGGTTGTTTAGCTACTTCCACAAAGACCATCCTCGCTGAATCTCTACTGCATGGATACAAGTTTGACAGGTACTGGTTTTTTTTTTCCTCTAGTCATTCTCTCTGCTTTCTTTGGCTTGCTGGAAACTTCTGCATTGAACTCCCTTCCCTCTACTCTCTTTGATGCATTGGAAATTCAACTTTAGAAGTCCACTGTATTTTGAGAAAAAAAAAAAAAAAATGAAATTTAAGAACTTTGGAACAGTCTGTAAAGGGAATTGACTGGCCTAAAGATGGACCTTGTATTCTTTACTCATGTGATTGTGGAACCCCTTATTTTCCGTACAGGCACTCTAACATTGCAACAAAAAGTATATAGAGACTATAATATGGACGTAATCTTTCATGTTAGCCCTTTGCAATTGGTTTTGCGTTTGATTCTGGTGGACCAGCATGCTAATCAACTTTGCTTTTGTTTTAGTGTTTTGTTATGTAAATTTCTGCTCCCACCTTATGAATTCATAGATTTGTTTTTCCCGTATTTTCTTCATAATTGCTTCATATTCTAGTTTCTTAGTTTCTCATGGAGTATTCTCTAGCACTGCTTTGTGGATTACCATTTAGGTCAACAAATGGAATTTATTAGCGTCATAGGACACAACATTGAACTGCTTCCTTTCTGGATACAGATTAACTACTTCCTTTCTAGAAAGGATCTTCTCAGTGTTGGTGTTGGATATCATCTCAGTCATTGGTTTGCTGCTCAATACTGTTGTAAATTTACTCATTAAAGTTGCTTGATTGACTTTAAGTAATAGTACATCTTATCATATCAATACTTGGTAACATGGAAACACTTAGCTAGCAAGTAAAAAAGCTAAGCCTAGTGAGTAAAATAAAATTGGTGTTGTAGAATTCTAGTTTGAACTTTGAAATGAAAGCAATTAAGTTTGCTTAGGAATCATTTATGAAACAAGAGCCTCAAAAGCTATCCTTCAGGCCTAGCGTCGGGTTTTCCAGCCAGATGTTCAGGTTGAGGCACAAAAGAGGCCTTCTCCCTGTTAAAAGAAATGGTGAGAGACTCTGACTCTGATGCCTGCCTGCTATAACACCATAGCAGTGCATTGCCTCCCTACCTGTGTTAGAAAAATGAGATTCTGATGGATATCCTAATGGACCTTTCTTCTGCTTAATCTCTTTTCTCGAGTTACTCAGACTCAAAATTAAATCTTCAGTTGAGTATCCAATCAAGTTGAGATTTCAAATACAAATGTATGTCTCACTATGCTTGTGAGGAACTTTTTGACATAATATCTTAACTTACAAGTTTTTTAATCTTTCCCTTACCTGTCTTTTGGTGTATATATATTCAGTATAAACACAGTCTACTACATGGCACCTTTTGCAACCATGATCTTGGGAGTGCCAGCAGTGTTACTAGAAGGTAATGGGATTTTGGACTGGCTTCATACCCACCCCAATCCCTGGTCAGCCCTCATTATTATTTTCAGCTCTGGAGTGCTGGCTTTTTGCCTTAACTTCTCCATTTTTTACGTAATCCACTCCACAACTGCTGTCACATTTAATGTTGCTGGAAACCTCAAGGTAAAATTTATTAAGGAGACCTAGATCAGTACAATTGTCTTGTGTTTGTTACTCCTTTTAATGGTTAAATAATATTTATATCATAATCATCATTATCATTTTCGTTGATTAATGAATGTGACAGCTTAAATTGATACACTAGTTTGTAGTCAACTTCATCTTAAGAAGTATGAACTTGGCAAGAATGTGAATTTTTGAAATCTCAGATACTGCATATTTTCCTCTTGATATGGCTATTCATGCTGTTTTGAGTCAATTGTTTCAATTCAACAATTCCAACTCCTCATTTCTTTTTTAAAAATTGCATATAATTATTGTTTTACTTCTCCAATTTATGCAAAACAAATCATGTCTCAACTTGTCATCATTGCAGCTGCCATATTTATTGTTCTTATCATTGTTCCATACAGGTAGCCGTAGCAGTGTTGGTTTCATGGCTGATATTCCGGAATCCAATTTCAGCTTCAAATGCCATTGGCTGTGGTATTACACTGCTTGGATGCACATTCTATGGATACGTTAGGCACATGCTTTCTCAACAAGCACCAGGAACTCCTCGAACACCCAGGACACCAAGAGGTCGAATGGAACTGCTTCCCCTTGTAAATAATGAGAAATTAGATGACAAGGTCTAGTTTGCATTGCATTCATCAGATTCTCTTGGTTGGAAGAGGAGATCATGCACAGAGAGAAAAGGGAAAATCAAGACACTATACTCGACGGATTGCCTTGTCACGAGGAACCTCCATGAGATTACCAGTTTAGAATTTTGTTAAATATAATTTCTTTTCTTGTTTATAAATGGAACAAAAGGTACTAGGGTTCTTACATTTAACAGCACTTGCCTTTATAAAACTCTCGGAAGGATCCATTGCAGTTGCAGCTTTGTCCTGAGTAATCCCCGGATCTGTACTTTCCTTAACGAGTGTTCATACACACTATGATTCTTAATGTTATCTGTTCCTGGGATTACTGCTTGTGATTTCTTACAACAGATGCAAATTTGCAGGGCAGAAAGCATGTAAAGAAGTTTTATATATTCATGTTGAAAGTTTTACAATAGAAGGTTAATAATCTCAATTTTACATTTTTACTTATCTAGGATAGTTAAGAGAGGATACAAAGGCAGTCTTGTTAGTGGATTATCATTATAGAGAAGGTGAGGACTAATATTATTAGACTTATCTTTGCATTTGCTGATGGAGGTCAAGAACTAAGCTAGGAGCCAGAAGTTCTTTTGCCATCTGGTGCTGATAAGGTACCCACCAACACCTTTGCTCTGCTTTCTAACCCCAATGGTCAAGCAATCTGCATTGCTGATGCACTGGCCCACAAACTCATCAGAGCTGGTCCCACAAAGACTGCAAGAGACACCCACCATTAGATGGAGATCAAAGGGGAGAGAGTATATGAGATCATTTGTGGTGGGGTAAGACTATGGACTAACCAGTTGAAGAATGAAGACGACCTTTTCTTACCCAGTACCAGCACTGATACCTCCAGCTTCTTCACCTGACTCAACACCGTGCTCAACTTTGGTCCTTGGATCACCAATGCTTCTATTTCAACCTGAATAGTGAATGGTATCCTGTCATTCAAAAACAGTGCCCTTTCTATGTATATAGAACACACAAACAGAGCCCAGAAAGGAAGAGAAAAAGAATAGTAAAGAAGATAAAGTGTGAAAATTTTGGGTCCTCTCTCTGCCTTTGCTTCTGCAAAGAAAAAGAAAAAGGAAAAGAATGGAAATGGAAAGGCAGCATGGGGTAATAAAAATCTTCCTGCCTCTAAAGAAGAAAATGGAAAGATGAAGTGGGATCTCTCAAACAAAATGAAAAGATTTTTCTTTTTCAACTACACTTAATACATTGGATCCATCAAAGACAAAATAAAAAGGGAAAACGTCTGTTGCAGAAGAGAATAGAACTGGGAATATACATACCTCAGGTTTACAGGCCTTGCAAAGGGACCCAAGAGAGCTAGCAAGATAATGAGATGAAGGGTCAGAGGTCTTATGGGTTGGAGGAATGACATGAAGCAGGGTGAGGAAATCACCATTGTTAGCCACATGGGTGAGAGCAAACATCATTGCATGTTTGGAATGTGACGTCTGGTCCACCACCACCATCACCCTCTTCCTCATTACCACCCCACCGTTGTCACCGCCACCGAAGTTGCCATACATGTTCAGCCCTTCCATCTCCTTCAAATTACTCCTCTCACAGTACTCCTCGGTGTTTCCAACCCACCTCCAGGATGCTGATCTCCACACTTCTCTCCCACTCAGCTGCCTAAAGATTGAACCTGAACTTGGCATTGCTCTCACTTTCTCTCTGACAACGTCTATAAATGACTTGCAGGGAGAAAACACAGCTGGAAAAATAGTGCTCCGACAGGACTATACTGTCCAAAAACTAGCAAGCTTGTGATGATATAGTGAAAGAGAAACAGAGTTAGTAGGACACATGGGAAGTTGTGGAGATTTCAATATTACTAAGAAAAAGAGGTAATGAATGCCTAATTAAGATTCAAATAAAAAAACCTTTGGGAGAAGAGAGAAAGACAAAAAGAGTGATGGGGGGGCGGGGGAGGGAGTTAAAGTGTGGGTGGGGTGATGATGCAAATTATGATAATTTATCATCTTTGGTGCAGGCTAAAGTCACGGGAATCACTGGCAAACTTTGGCTTTACACTCATCACAATTGCCTTGGTCTGAGGTTTGATCATGAAGTAGGATACTTTTGTTCAGATACTTTAGCAGAATTCACGACTTGAAAGATAAAAAGGTGCTATATAGCATGAATTGTATCGAATTTAAAGGGTCTCTCTATGTTTGATACTTCTTGTTTTTGCATTATACAATAAACATGAAAAAAAGAAAAATAAAAAAGGGTGGAGATAATTTGATTTGGTGTTGATGTCAGTATTGAAAAAGAACTTCACCCATCTATAGGTCTTGGCTTTGGAATTCCCAATCTCCTTTCCCCAACAATTGTTTTTTTATTATTAAAAAAAAAAAAAAAAAGGCGCACACACACATACAGAAGTATTTTCAGGGGCCATATTTTGAATTTGATGAATCTCTACAGGCCTGGGCCAACAAAATAAATATCTAGAACCCTTAAAAATTCTTCAGTCCAAGCTTAATTTAATTCCATGGGCCTAACATCCCAAGCCCCAACACAGTCCACTGTTCTATTGAGATCCAATATAAAATCTTTTTTTTTTTTTTATCGGCAAGATCCAATATAAATTCTCTTCTTGTCTTGTTCTGAAGATTGGGTCAAAGTGCGAAGGAATTCACACATTCAGTTAATTTCACATTCTTACAAAAATCAATTATTACTTTTTTTTTTTATTAACATACAATCCCATAAAGAAAAATTTTCTTAAAATTTATTTTTTTATTTGTAAAATTTAAATTTAAAATTTTATTTAAAAAAATTTAAACTTTTTCTACTCGAATAAAAAAATTATTGTACACAATAAATTATTATACTTTTTAAAAAATTCCTATTTACCCAACTTTTAAAACTCAGGCGTAAATGAAGTGATTTTATGTCAAAAAATCAAAGGCCCAAAAACATAAGAGACTGGACTTGGCGAATGAGAAAACAAAAAATTTCAAACGGCAAATTTTCAAGGGAATTCTACCTATAATCAAATTGAAAACTATATAATTATAATATCATATGATATTATAAATTTATAATATAATATATTATTATATAATTTGATATTTTTACTTAAAAATTCATATGTGATATTATATATATTTATTAATTTAATAACACATAACATTCATTTAATAATATGTTATAATTATAAGATTATAATCTTCTATGACATTATAATAATAGCATTATTGCTCTAAAAAATTGCCACATGTGCAATGTTTCAAGTGCAACACCTTGTATATATAATATGAGATATCATTTTGTAATTTCAAGTACAATACCTTGTATAACATGGCTCGAAAATTAGTAATAGAAAAATAAAAAGAAAGTTAAAAGAATCAAAATTTGAAATCGTAGTAACTTATCGTTGTCTAAGAGTGCAAGGAAGGAAAAATATTGTTGGTTGTGTGTATGATATGTGTTTGGTTTAGGGTTTATTATTTATAAGCTGCATGTGAGATTTCTTTTACTATTATTTTTGTATTTTATTGGTTTTATTTTTAAAAATTATTATTATTATATAGATATTAAATATAATAAACATACATAAACTTCAATTATATAAGTACATGTAATACATATAAAATTTCAATTATATAAGTATAGGTAGTAGGTCAGTTAAATAAAATGGTTAAATATGTTGAATAAATAGTTTTAAACCCTTATACTTATTACTTAATTTGATATTGGTGGGTATACTATTTTCATATCCATTATTTATCCTTTTTTTTTTTTTTATAATTCAAGTAAGGCACTTATCTAAATAGGTAAAGTACTTATAAGTAATGGATTTACCCATACTCAACACTCACCTCTACTTATATATTTGTGGGTACTTGATTTATTTAGACTTGCATTTTACTTGTATTTATAAAGAGATAATTAAATATTGGGTATGAAAAATGGATACTTGTTAACTATCAAGTCAAGTATTAAGTATGAAGCATACCTAATTTGTATATACGATTCATACATATACATATACATATACATATATATAAAATAGGGATCTATTTACACAAAAATTTTATACATTATATTTATACAAAATTTTAATTATTTATTTTTTTCACTTTTAATTATTAAAATTTATTCACATTTATTAAAGATAATTATTTTTTATTTAAAAAGTCGTAATAAATCTCAATTATTGAAAATAAAGAGATTAATAATCAAAATTTTGTATAAGTGTAATGTGAAAGATTTGTGTGTAAATGAATTTTTCTATATATATATATGTAGATAAATTTTTAACTTCATCATTAGTAATATTTTTAAGAATTTTATGAATTCTTTAATATATTAGTAATTTTTTTGTGTCTACTTATAGAAATGAGTTTTGTATCTATCTATTGAGATCAAGGAGATTCATTTGAATTTTAATTGTAAAGAAAGTTAGCAACATGTGAGTACACTTTTAAAACTCAAACTAAAATATTTCATTTATTATGTAGAAATATCATTATAATTTATATAAAAGTTGCTTAATTATACTAAAATTTTGGAATGTAATAATCATATTCTAGTTTTATGCTTAATTTTGCTATGTAATATCATGGAATTGGAATGTGTTCATCAGAAGAGATTCAAATGAATGAAGATTTTATGGAGTTGTGTTTATATGTATTTTGTCCTTCTTTATATAAATTAATGGGATTGTAGAAAATCAAAATGTTTTAATAATTAAAATATTAGAATTGTCTATGAAATTATTTAAATATTTTTAATGACTCAATATATAAGAAATATTCATTAAGAATACTTAAATAATTTCATAAGGAGTTCTAACATTAAAAATATCAAAACATCTTAATTTTACTTTTCTTTAAATTAATAGTAAAAAAACACAACTTAAAAAAAAAACTGTAAAATAAAAAGCTTGTTCCTATTTCCTTTTAATATTTTTAACTAAATAAAGGAATTATTATTTAATTCATTTTCTTTTATTGTAGAACATAGGTAAAATAATGTATTATAATTTTGAAAACTTATTTTTATCTCATAAATTAAAATAATACTTTACGAGTTTTTATGTCATAAAGTCTATTTATAATAGAATCTACATTAAATGACTGAATTATTTCCTTTTTAATATAAATAATCAAAGAGTTTGAAAGAAATTCATCTTCCATTTTGTTGCAAAGTTTCGTTTTCATAATTTTCATGACAAAAAATGCTCTTTCTTTTGTTGCAATTCTAATCCACTAGCCATTTTCTTGTTCATCTCAATCTCAAATTTGAGTAGGAGATTTAAAATTTGAAACTTGTATAGAGGTAACAATTGACAACATAAAATCTTTAAACACTTAATAAGTTATCGAGATTCCTAAAATAGTATATCAGTAAGTAGTGATGGAGCACTTAATTATCTAAGTTATCAGTTATCTCTGATTCTCTAGTAGAAGAAATTTTGCACCTCCATAGGTGAGGTTGGTAAATATAAAATACGGCAACATCCTATCTTTTCACCCTATCACTTTCTACAATTAAACAATTTTTTTTTTTTGCTTTTTATAAGTTAATTATACTTTATACTAGTTTATCTTCCTTTTATACTAATTTATCTTCTTATTGGTTTTCTCTATATGACTATATCCAAGGTTTTTCCTTTTATTGAGTTCATATATGTTCTCTTTATGGATCTATACTTTCTTTTCAATTTTTTTCTTTTACTCATATCCAATTATATTCCATATAATTTCAATATAACTTCGTATTATCATAATATTCAATTTTATTTGTAATATCAATAACTCTAAATCTTAAAAGGAAATTATACAATTTTTTGTGATAATAAAAAATCAATAAGTTTTATTACTTAAATATTATTCATTTCATACTACAATAATAGATTTTTTGTTTTATCTTCTAATGAAGGATTTGAAAACAATTTCTATCTTTTCCTTAAAAACAATTTTTTGCATCGGACCATTGACAGAGTCTCTTTTTTCTACTTTTGAAGTTGTTAGGTTAAAGTTGAAGGAGATTGACACTGGCACAGTAGGGTTGGATATTGGAGAAATGGTGTAGAAGACACCAAAACTTTTTATATATACATATATATATATATATATA